ATCTAATTCTATTGAAATGTTTTCATTCTTTAATTTTTCAATATTTAATGTTTTATGTAATCAATATTTAATAATTATGTAATGTATTTAAAAGTTTATTAAGAATAATAAGGTATACTTACAATTTAAGAAACAATTTTATAAAACTCTTGGAAGTTTAACATATACTGATTATGACTAAAAATTCATTCAAATGCACTGATGAACATATAAAGCTTATTAATATTAATAAAGCTTATATTAATATCAGAAATGAATTGCTTAAGAAGAATGGGAAAATAAAAATAGTGAAGTAATTGAGTACCTCACAGGTGCCATTTTCAAGTTCAGTTTATCAAATTATTGATTTTGTTACACATAACACCTTTATCCACTAAACAGATCACTTGCTTATGTAACATACGGTCTTCATCCTTTTTGTATCTCTTTGTTCTGTGATAGGACAAAGTAAAATGAAGTGTTTTGTAAAAGAACATCTCGTACCACCTTTAATTATTACAATAACTCAATTTTCACAAAAATGTTACATAACACCTTCATCCTGCAAACCCTTCATTTATTAAACAATTTTTAAGATTCTACATTGGATAAATAATACAGTGTAAAAATAAAAATATATATATTACATATGCAAGAAATATATAATAGCATGAGGAAAAATGTATGCAATTGTAGTAAAACATTAATTATGTAAAATAATTGTAGTAAGTTGTCAGAAACAAATTTTGTAGCAAGTCAATACTTGTTTTATCCTATTTTATCTATTCGAAAATTCACAATTTTTTGTCAAAATTTTTGCAGTTCTTTGTAGTTTACCAACAGAATTTTTCATTTAATATGAATTAAATATTACACAGTTGACAATATAAAGTGCATTGAGGAAGAATAATTTTTATAATGGAAGTAGAATTATCAGCATCTGTGAAAACATTTTTAAAATATACTGTCAGTTTGTTCTCAGAAAATCATGATTACTAAAAGTTTGCCCTTTTCACAGTGTTGACTTATATTTTGCATAAATTTAGCAATTTGTTTGGGATTAAATAAACGTTGTGTAATAAGTAATATTTTCTAAAATGAACAGTAGTAATATTTAAAACAATACAATAATAGTGTCAAATTATAATCATTGTTAACTATAATAGTATTTAAGAAGAAACAGATTAAAAATAAATCTTAAATGTGAAATTGCTGGATATTGGTCAACACTCGTTATTATTATTTTTATTATGGCGTCTTTCCGGTGTAGGTTACCGGCTCCACGTGTTTCAGTATTCAATTGTCTAACGTACGCGTTTGTCGTGTCTTGCCGGTTTGTCGAAGCAGTCGTTTGTTCGTCCTTAAAGTAATGTGCGACGTGGCCCGGTAATTATGCTGTAAGAACTATTGTAGTTGTTAAGTGATAATAAAACGCCTATAAAAACCAACAAAAATTTGAATATGTACATTTTTAGTCATCACATCAGAGCTGTATCTGTTTTACTGTTTTGAACTGCAGCATTTCTTTTAAAAAGTTTGGTATTTACAAATATTTCTATAAATATTTCAATATTGCATATTGAGAGAAATACTTAGGTTATGGGTTTGCATATTTCTATTTTACATTCATCAGAGAAGGTTTAGTTAAATAAAACTCGCTTTTCTTTTTTGTGTTCATAGAAATAAAAAACTTTAATTCTATTGAAAGTAATTTTTAATTCATATGAAAAAAGGAATTGTAGAATAATTCTTAATTCAACTTTAATAGAGGTTAACTCGGTATCATTTATTTTTTCAAAATTAATTGTCTAATTACATTCTTAATGCAAAACGTTCAATCAATTAGACTCATTGTTACACAACAATATATACATATTTATATTTACCTTTTATTTTTAAAATAATCGATACATTTTGTTACACCAAATTTCAGTATGCCTATATATTTTATTGTATTATTATTGCAAAGAATTTGAAAGACTGAAATTAATTTCTAATGTTTAACAGTGAATTACATCTTATTTTAAATACATTGTTACTTTAAATAGAATATTATAAACATTAAAAATACTTCCAAGTTATCTTTACTGTCCTAGTTCATATTCACTTGTTATTCAAGAAATATAGAGGAATAGCAATTAAAATTTTTTATCATTATAATGAAAGTTGAAATTACCTAAACATTTGTAATGTAATTATTATATTATTGTCAAAAATTTTAATATATTAACCAGTAATTATTCTAATACAAATGATTTTTTTATTCCAGATAAGAGTTGCACGTAAAACTCATCAGACATTAATTATTCCTAATTCATATAATCTTTCTTTTTTTCAATTTTAAATACTGCATATATAATAGCAGTTATATTTTTGTAAAAGCTTTGTAACTTAGATAAATATACAAAATACAAGCTATAACTCGAAATTATAATTAAACCCTAGTTATATCCAGTTTGCTAAACGTTTTTACACGATTTTAATTATACTGTATTTATAAATTTTAATTGTGTAACATTTAGACTGCGTTTGTCACCGTATTTATATTTTTCAATTCGATTAATTTAAAATTTAAAGGTTAACAGTTATTTTAATAACACATCGTGTCTTATTTATACATCTAAACTCCGAGAATTCGACGTTTGATTTAAGATATAAATTGAAAACGTTTCAGACATTTTATAATTCTGTTTGCATTGCTGAACTTTGTCTGTTTACAGTTTCGTTCAATTTGCCATTGGTGTGGTGGTTGTAGTAGTCATGCTAGCTTGAATAGCTTCTAGCTCCTCTTTTGGCAAATTTTCCATGAGCCAGGTGTCAATTACTGGAAGATTTTTTTCATTCCACATTTTTCTCTCCAACTTGTAAGCTTCCTGAATCATAATATCGGTTAGGTTGATTTCCGCTGGATGGGTTGCGCAAAATTTAACTCCTTTTTGAGTAGTGAATGCGGAGGTTATGGATTCTACTATGCGATACCAAAGCTCTTTTTTATCCTCAAATCTTTGTTTTACAATATCCCAGTTATCTGCTAAGAAGTTGTAAAGTGTTGTGTAACCTGTTGCTCCGCTGCTTAATGTAACAAAGATCAAATGAATGTCTAAATCCGTGAAGTTTTCGTTCTGATGGAGAATCGTTACATTCAACAACCTATAAAATTAATAATTTTCAGCTTCTTCGAAAGAGATACAAAGAACAGCATCATTATTGAACATTTGTTAAATTTTAGTTTTATCTCTCTTTGATTAATCAATTAATCTTTATGAGAGAAAATAAAGTCAACATTAATTTTTGAAGTTTAGTAATAAATCTACAATGATTAATTCTTAAATAAAAACGTATTATGTACTATGTATTTCGATAAATTAATTAAATAAAATGGTGTACCTTTCGATTTTGTATGTGTCTTTTGGACAACCTGCTAAAGATTTTAAAAGATATGTACGTTCATTTCGTTTCCTTTCTGGACTATTTTGAGGGAAATTTATGACACGATGAAGTCCAAATTCCCATTCTTCTTCGGTACCCCATTTGAATACTGGACAAATGAATTCATTGGCAACTCTACAAAGTAAAGAAGGAAAGTTCATTTCATTGCTTTACAACAATAATAATTAACGAATAGCTAACTTTAGGGATTTTTTCATTGCAAACAATATAGAAATTAAAAATCCAAAATATTTATATCATTACTTTATGGACGCGTAATATAATATTCTTACAATTTTAATAAATTTCTTAATTGAAATTGTAATTTGGATTTTTATTCAACTTTTTAATCAGATGATTATAAAACATATTAATAATAGAACTTGCTGTAGAATAATTATAAAATTGATCGTGGTGAACGTGGGAATAGAAACTATGATACATGTATACAGTATATGCATAGAATACGAACGGATTTCCTTTATCCGGATCTTCGTCAAACAGCCATTTTTTATATTGATCTTTCGCTTCCTTAACGCATGGTTCGTATCCGGCACGGCAGAGGAAATTTTTCGTCATGCCCCGCATATGAGTTTTCCAAGACGGTTCGTTTGGTTCTATAGTCTTATTAAGTTCTTCGTATAGAGGTTTTAACAGGGTGCGAATGTATGCCTAAGGTAATAAT